AATTTTTAATAACAGTTTCAAACATATACGTCATAATTTCATCCGTTTCACTTTGGTTGATTTTTTTCACTTTGAAGTATTTTGACGTTCCTTGAGGAAAAGTAATTTTTGTTAGGTGTTTTTTAATTTTAGATTTTCTTTTGTTTATTTTCATTATGGTTTTAAATATTTAGGTTTTCAGGGGTCTGCATATGTAATTTTCCTTAATTTTTCATTAATGGCCTTCGTCCGGCCCGCGACCCGTCATTTATAACACGATCCGGCCCACGGGGTTGAATGAGTTGCTGACCCCTGGTTTAAGTAACAAAATCTGTCGGATTAATAATAAAAAAATGCATCAGAAATTTAGAAACAGTAATAAGTAAAATGAAATAATTTTTCTTTTTGTCTTTCACATTTCCAGAATTGATGAAAGTCAAGTTGCTCAGTATCTACCTCTGACCCATGTGCTGAATTCTCTCTTTGAATTTTGCCATGAACTATTTGGAATCTCAATTAAGGTATGTGCTTCAGAAACAAGACAAATGTTTATCGGCTGAGATATCCAAAGCGATATCCACTGAGTCAAAATTTTTCATTAATGGCCTTATAACCCGATCCGGCCCACGGGGTCGAATGAGTTGCCGACCCCTGCTCTAAAACCTGTCACAAACTGCCTAATCCAACAGTCTGAGATGCTGAAATCTTTTTATTTCATTATCTGGATTATACCATATGATGCTGTGTTTTATGGGGTGATTAAACCGTGTGTTAATGATGGTGCATTTCTATTTGTAACAATAGCCTAGCAAGAGTCCTCCATTGCACCTTGGGGATTCCGTTTCAAAGGGTGGGTCTCTTCTTACCATCAAAGTAGCAGTGACGTTTTAAAATGTTTGAGCTAGAATTAAAATCTCCTATATGCACAGTTTTCGATGGGGGTCAACTATACAAATTTTATTTAATCATTTGTAGTGTTTTTATTTTTTTCCGAAACAGCGTTCTTTTCCGTTGGGGTGGCATCAGCTGATATCACTCTTGGGTCTTACAGACATGAACAATAATGTCGGCAGCCATCAGCCTTTCAGACTGGTGTACAATAATATCTATTACAATATCTGATGATTTGCGTATTGCAATTCCAATTCTATGTTGTCTTTTTTCCTTGTGACCAGTCCAAAATAAATATTATCCCAAATACGCAATTGATTCACAACCAGTTCGACACACTTCTTACATCAACGTTAGCTTCCTTGCATTCTTCTGTTCTATTTTCAATTTGAAGAAATTTTTAAGTTTACATTTTGTAGTCAATCTTTTTAGATGACGTTGATAAGTGATGTGGCTAACTAGACCTTTCCTTACCACTAGAAGATTTTTCGATCTCAGCCTGGTGTGTCACCGAGGGCCGTGTCCCTTGGTAACACGTGTGACGGACGATACTGTATTTAGTTATATTTTTAGTCATTCTAATAATGTCAAAGTGTTTAGTTTTATATCAGAATTTCTATCTCCTAGGTAGATGACCACTGAAATGTCTATTGAGCCTTATCTACCTATTTGGTTTTATATCAAAGTTTAATTTCTCCTAGATTATATCCCTTCACCATGATTGAGGGTTCTTAGTTCACCCACATATAAAGAAACATGTTTTGGGAATTGATAGTGGAGTTTTTTCCTCTTTCCCTTCTCCACGGTGATTTTATTGCGACACAACCTCTAGTTAGTTGGCTGTTAGCTCATCAAGAGTTCTTCTTTCCTTTGATAGGACTTATTAACAACCCACCTCAGCCTAAATAGGAATGGGGTGCCACTTTGGTCACCTACAATTCAACAGTAGCAAGTTTTAAGTCAAAATTAAAAAGGTCATTTTTCTTTTATTCTTCTCTTTTTTACTCACCTTTCCTACGCGACATGAACAATTCAGGATCAAAAAATATAATAAGTAATATATGGATGTGTAGAATAGATAGATAGATAGATAGATAGATAGATAGATATGAAGACATTGAGATAGATAGATAGATAGATAGATAGATAGATAGATAGATAGATAGATAGATAGATAGATAGATAGATAGATAGATAGATATGAAGACATTGAGATAGATACATAGATAGATAGATATGAAGACATTGAGATAGATAGATAGATAGATAGATAGATAGATAGATAGATAGTATTTGTAAGTTTTCCCTGACGTGGCTGTTATTGTGAGTAAAGGCTTTTTTGGCGCTACTAGTTATGCAACGATGTCTTCCTAATGTGATAACTCGCTTACTTTCTTCCTATTATTATATAACAGTGATGAGACATTTTGTGATGACATCTGTATATGCGATAAATTTCAGCAAGCATTGAATATATTCGTTTCTAGGAGGCATTTAATTGATCTGACCATTAGCGGCTTCAGCCATGTTCATACGCTCAGATGTCCGAAATGAACCAATGAATTCGATATAAGGACATGATGGATTCCATTGGTGAATGTTGACAGACTAAGATACACTATGTCAGTAAGGCCGAAAGTATGGGGTACCCAGTGAAGATCGAACTCACTAATCAGTTGTCACTATTCTAGCGAGACAAGCTTGCTAAACATTACACTGCATCGAAGTGCATGATGGTTTCTAAGCGTAGTTTAGATGTGGCACAAGGCCGAAAGTATGGGGCACCGAGTCAGGGTCAAACTCTCTATTCAGACGTGGTTAGCGACACAAGCTTACTAAGCACTTCGACGTGGTGTAATACTTAACAAGCTTGTCTCGTTAACCATTACATCACGTCAAAATGCCCAAAATATTTTTGTATGCGACACAAGAGCGAAATTATGGTACCGCCAGTGAGAATCGAACTCACTATTCAGTCGCAACTAATTCAGCAAAACAAGCCTGCTAATCATGTCGAAGTGCACAATGATTTTATAAATGTAGCTTAGATATAACACATGGCCGAAATTATGGCACACTCAGTGGGGATTGAACTCACTACTTCATCGTAACTTCTCTAGCGAGACAAGTTTGCTAAATACTACACCACGCCCAATGGATTTTAAAGCGTAGCTTAGATGTTGCACAAAACGGATAGTGTGGAGCCCCAGTAAAGATCTAGAAAATTGGTATGATAGTTACAAAGAAAGAAAAATGGAAAATAATTCGTAAGATAGATATAAAGAATAAAAGATGAAAAAATAACAACGAATCAAAAAGAAACGAAACGAAACGAAAAGAAAAGAAATGAAAGAATCGATAAGATAGGTTGAAACAAAATCAAGACGAAGAGAATCAACTCGAATGATTTGAAGAGAATTAATCCCGTGCTTTTATTACGTGATTTTATCTAAAACTCCAGATGAAGCCAACGTAAGGAAAAAGCAAATCTCTTGTTCTGTTCCGTGCTTAGTCATTTTATTCAGGATTTTAAATCTGTTGGCGGGCGGGGATGGAGACCAAAGACGCCTTATGTCGAAACATTTCTTTGGGAATTCCAAATGTGCCGACAATGTTCTCTCCAGATTCAAATCCTTAATAACTGGGGCGCTAAAAAGCGCAAGTTTTTAAATAGCTCTACAGTTCATTCTCTCATGCAATACATTTAGCTGCTCAATTCTACTTCATTCAAATGCTGCTTTTCTTTCTCGCCTCTTCTTTCTTTTCGTCTCATTCTCGATTCTTCTTCGTCTGCGTTCTTTTTCTTCTTCGTTTTTCTTCTTCATTGTCTTGTAGTTTGTCCTTTCCTCTATTCACCGATTCTTCTTCTTCTTCTTCTTCTTCTTTTTCTTCTTCTTCTTTTTCTTCTTCTTCTTTTTCTTCTTCTATTCTTTCCTTTATTCACTGATTATTATTCTTCCCCTACTTTTCTTATGTTTTCTTCCTCTTTGTTCATTTCCTTCTTCTTATATCTTTTCCTCTATTCACTGATTCTTCTTCTTCTTCTTCTTCTTCTTCTTCTTCTTCTTCTTCTTCTTCTTCTTCTTTCCTTTATTCATTGATTACTATTCATCTCCTACTTTTCTTTTTTTCTTCTTCTTTGTTCATTTCCTTCTTCTTATATCTTTTCCTCCATTCACCGATTCTTCTTCTTCTTCTTTGTTCATTTCCTTCTTATTTTGTCCTTTACTCCTATTTCACAATTCTTAGAATATATGTACTGGAATTCGAACCAAAACAGTGATGGCACGTATAGGAGACAGAATTAAACAAAGAATATGCTGCGCTAGTTTTTCTCAACACCTCAAATTGCTACAAAACCAAAAAATTAACCCGAAAGCACGGGCCATGTTCTTAAATAGGCTCGTCATGTAGAGACTTTCATCTGGATAGCACGTGTGACACCAAAACCCGTTCAGAAATATCTAAATTGTCATCAACTGCATACAACCACTTTCTCAAACCAATGGCTAAAAATGATTTTGAATGAGTGAAGCTTGCAGAGCTTCACGAAGACCATATCTCTTCGGATCATATGGACTGGCGCTACAGAATCACAAACAAAGAACAGTACCAAATAACAAAAAACACATCACTTGACAACTTCCAACAACAGCGATAACTAAAATGGATATCACCTGTAACTCGAAGAGAAAATAATGGCATAATGAAGATGTTGATATTCCACACTACTTCAAACAAAAGGTTAGTAAGGAAAGCCCCATCAATACTGGTTAATTTTATAACAGCTACTGTATGTGAAAAACCTACTTTCTTGGAACATTATTTGAAGAGAATGATTTTATAAATTCCAACCGAATGTGCACTGGCTGCTCTGTCAATGAAGGCAAAATGTTTCCTTGTAGGGAAACGGGTAATATTAACATTACCTTTTCCTCTTCCTTATCTATTTCCTTTGATTTTTTTCTTACTCTCTTTTCTGCTTGTTGCTAATCGTGTTATAATTAAGAGAAGGCAACTTATTAATAATTCACAGACAAGCGTTCGTCCTGGTACAAGCAGTTGAAGACAGCAGCAGCAGCCTAACGTTGTCATGGCAACACAGTGAATCAATAAATAGATAAGGCAAGATGCTATCATTAATGTTAGTTTCCATTCAAGTCTCTTCTTTCTTTTCGTCTTCTTTCTTTCTTTCTTTCTTTCCCATTCCCTTATTTATTTATTTCACACTAACTTCTTTCTTTCATTCTTTCTTTCTTTCATATTCCCTTTTTCTTTCTTTCACACTACCTTTTTCTTTCTTTCACACTACCTTTTTCTTTCTTTCTTCCTTTCTTTTTCTTTCTTCTTTTTTTTTTTCTTTCTTTCTTTCTTTCTTTCTTTCTTTCTGTCTTTTCACTCTTTTCTTCTTTCTTTCGTTAATTCGTTTTCTTTTTCATTTTTTTCCTTTCTTTCTCTGTTATCCTTTCTTTGTGTCTTTTTTCTTTCTTTTTCTTCTTTTCCTTGTCTTCTTTTTTTTCATTTTCCTTCACCTCCCCTTTGTAGATCGGTCATTTACTTTCCATTTTTTTCTTTCTTTCCTTCTTTTCTTCTTTATCTTATTTTTCATCTTTCTTTATTCCTCTTTTATTTATTTTTATTTAATTTCCTTTATTCTTTCTTTTCTTTGTCTTTATTTCTTTCTTCCTTAGTTTTCTTTGTCTTCTTTTTTCTTCTTTCTTTCTTTGATTTTTTTGTGTTTTTCCCTTTTTTCCCTTTTTCTTTCTTCATATTATTTTATTCAATATGAATAAAATATTTTATTCATATTATATCAGTTTATATATATTATGATACGACTTATCCTTATCTGTATCATATATAATGCCTCAGCTTACGGCCATATCACGTTGAAATACCGGTAAGTAATATCTTGCCTGGTCAGTACCGAGATGGGTGACCTCTTGCGAACACAATGTACTGTAAGATTGGATGTGTGGGTCGTGTAATGGATAACGGCTAGAAATCGGAAAAGTGAGTTCCAATTCCAGTTGGGTCCATTATAATTCAATTACGCGCAAATACCTTTGGAAAAGATATGAATTGACCTTTTCTCCCCCGGCTATGGGTTAATTAGTAGGATTTGTACCAGTAAATCATTATTATCCCCACAAAAGATCTTGTATTCTAAAAATAATTTCTGGCTTTAAATAACCTATAAAAGATTAATAAACCGTAAAAAAGACAAATCAATCAATATATAATGCACAGTAAATATAAACTTATATACAAATTTATATGAATCTGAAAAGAACAAAATGTCTAAAGAAGTGGCCGAAAGCGCTTGGCGGAATAGACACTACAGACATTTTTTACATTTGCTTACCCACACCAAAGAGAAAAATTTAAAAATACTTTAAAAAATCAATAAAAATTCATTAAATTTTCCTTTTGTTTGTCATATTCTACAGAACATGCTTGAAGGAAAGGTTTGCTCTCTCTCTCTCTCTCTCTCTCTCTATATATATATATATATATATATATATATATATATATATATATATATATATATATATATGAAGAAATATAGTCTTTAGGTGTGCTATATTTATGGGATAAAGTGTTCAATATCAAAGATAGAGCGTGTGTAAATACAAAAGTGAACATAGGAGTCAAGTCTTAGAGGCGACAGTCTGTTTCATGCTAGATGCAATCGTGAGGCCCTGACGATTGCGTCTAGCATGAAACACACTGTCGCCTGTAAGTGTTGACTTCAATGTTCACTTTTTATGTTACGGCGGTGGCAAGGGGACTTAAACCGAGATGTCAGGTTAGAAGCAATAACATTGCAGATTTTTCTTTGAATTTTATCAAATCTAACTCTAAACCAGTAAAAGACTTAATATAAATAATAATGAACTAAAACTTGAAGGAGAAATTTACATATTTACTTGTAGTAATTGCCGCAACAAATGCATAGGAGAAACCTCAAGGAATTTAAATAAAAGATTATATGAGCACAAAAGGAAATTTTTACACAGACATTCTTCTTTGCATTTCATCAAATCTACTTCTAGAACAGTAAAAAGCTTTATACAAACAAAATAATAAGCTAAAACTTAAAAGAGGAATTTACTTCCTCATTGTAATAATTGCCGTAATAAATTCATAGGTGAAACCTCAAGGAATTTACATAAAAGATTATATGAACAAAAAAGGGACATTTTACAAAACAACACATCAAATATATTAGTTGTTCACTGTAATGAGTTTAATCATAATTTTGATAGAAAAAAATTCTATTCTAAATACAAGAGAAGACAATTTACTAAGATAAAATAATATATTATATGCTTTCATTGCAACATCATGCACGGTAAATTTACGACCAAGTTCTTACATTTCATCTTTCTAGAGAGATCTATTATCACAATGTGAGATTTTTAATAATAAAAGAGATAAAAAATATAAACAAAAAAGAAACTAAATGAAATAGACAAGACAATATACCGAAAATACATATTTCAAACAAATTAAATAAATTTAAATTTAAAATTTCAGCGTCCCATCTCCTTCCTTACATGTGTAGTCGTATCAGCGTAAATATCTCATCAGTTCGATGAAGTCCTACCGAACGAAATGTGTCATACTAAAAGTTTTTTTCCATTTACCATAGATTTTTCTAATATATATATATATATATATATAATGAATACAGAATCCTTAAAAATCCATTCAGGTGATAGTTTATTTCGTGGACTCAGACTTCCATCTCTTCAGACCGAATTTTACAAAATAAATGGAGTTCAATTTATTCAGACACAAAGAAAAGAAATGAAAAAAAAAGGAGAGAAAAGACAAAAAGAAAAAGTTTCAATAATAAAAGGGGAAATTTAAAATAAAATGGAAAGAAAGACAGAGATTTCAATATAAGGTTTTTTTGTGGGGAAGAGAAAGAGAGATAGACAAGGGGAGGGGAAAAGGAAAAAGAGTGAGAGAGGGAAAAAAGGAATTAAGCAAGTCGCCATGGTGACCCAGAATATATTTTATTCGACGGACTTGACAAGTTAAAAATAAGATGGAAAAAGGGAGTGAATATTTTAAAATATATACATTAAAATGTCTTGTCATTTTAAGCAGCGAAACAAACCATCGTCATCGCATTATAACCGTCACAATTACTCATATATATATATATATATATATATATATATATATATATATATATATATATATATATATATATACGCATTTTTTCTGTGTTTGTTCGTGTCTGGATGTTTTAAGGAAACTGGTGATATTTTTCTTTAGTCTTTTAATTTTTTTTTTTTGTTAAGAATAAAGTCTAGTTTTTCTTATTGTAGTTGGTCTTATTTAGGATAACAAAGTCTTGAATTCATGACATTTACAATTTTTTTTTTATTATTTCCTGCAAGCTTGCTTCAAAGCTCTGTGAAAGAGATGGGTTCGTTTCTGTAATGGTATATATTTTTATGTTTTATTATATATATATATATATATATATATATATATATATATATATATATATATATCCAAGTATATAATTGGTATATACGGAATGAATTCAATAACCAACAATTACTATTCTTAAAAGCGTGCTCAATACAAAGTAGAGCAGATATAATTATTTTTTATAAAAAAAATTTATAACATAAGTATGTTAAAAAAATCACTACAAAAATAGCCATTTTGTTTCAACACACTCTGTGTCTTATCAAGTGATGATGTTATCCTGTTTTTCTTTGCATAATATATAATGAAACTATTATCAAATTATATGATTAATATATATTTTTATTGATATTTATGGTTTTGGAATTTTCGTTTTAATATATTAAATAATATTATTTTTAACCATTTTTATCTTTGTATATTTGCTCCCTTAAGTTATAATTTAATAAGTGGTTAGCATTTATTTAAGTCTGAAATATTTATTGGTTGTGATATCTGATTGTCTATGTCATTGTCTGCGGATGTATGTATGTGTATCTATCGGTGTCTATGTGTATGTAGAGTGTATTCACATTTAACTCTGTGTGTATAAGTGTTGGTTTCACGTCTCCTTTTTCATAAAGGGCTGTGGAGATGTTCATGTCTCGCCCCCCCCTTTTTTGTGTGTGTGTGTGTCTGTGTGTGTGTGTGTGTGTGTGTGTGTGTGTATCTAATTATGTCTGGGTGCTTATGTATTATAATCTGATTGTGTTTTTGTTGTTTTGTGCGTGAGTTTAAGACCACATGCACACACTTTAAAATAAAAAAGGAAAAGAAAGGGAAAAGAAAAATATACATGTATTGTCAAATGACCGGATATATTGTAGCGTCTTGTCGAACGTAATTTCAATGAAGAAATGAATTGAATAAACATATATTTTTTCTTTTCTCAATAATTTTGTAGTTTTTAAACTTAATAGTGATTAAATTTGGATTTTAAAATTGCCAGTTTTTAATTTTAATATTAAATTTTATCATATAATTTTATAATTATTGGTTAGTATAACTTATTTTTAATATTACACGTATTTAAAGATCTGAATAGCTATTATAACATGATTTCGTTGTCAAGCTTTTGAATCTTTCTATACTTCGTTTTTGATTAGTTATTCTAGCTTTTGTAACAATGTTTCCCCCTAGTGTAGGATCGTTAATTAATCTGAAACTTTTAAAACCATTTATTTTATTTTCAACATCATCACTTGATAAGACACAGTGTGTTGAAACAACATGGCTATTTTTGTAGTGATTTTATAACATACTTATGGGTATTTTCTAATATATAAGCAAGGACTTAAGACTTCGGATTCTGGTTCAAAGAATTTTTAAAATTAAAAGCTCTACATGTTATTTTTACTTTTACTTTATTTTTTCATACAGGTCTTGGGCACTTTTTATACTACTGTTTTCTGGTCTGATTCAACTCTGACCGTTAACCTTATATATATATATATATATATATATATATATATATATATATATATGATTGGTATCAATAAAGAATAAAGAAAAAGAGAAAACTTGGACTTTATCGAGGCAAATATAAGGATTTTATTTTGCACCAAAAGTATAAATATTATTTTTCAAATTTTTGATTTAAGAAAGGCTTACAAACATTCATCAAGCCAAATAAAAAGTCGACGTATATCATGGAGGCGGCTAAGTGACGTAATTTAATAAACAAAACTGAGAAAATTATGCTTTCTTAATTTTATTTTTTTATAATGTAATTATTATTTATATTATTTTAACTTTGGATTAATTTATGGTCTGGTACCCTCGCAGTTCATCTCGAGGTACTTGACAAAATCCAAATACAGATATGCAATGTGATCGCTCCTGACTTGGAGTCTCACTGACGTAATATCAATTCCCTCTGTCTTTTCTATAAACATTTTCATGAAATCTGCTCTGATGAGCTTCTTTTTTTTTTTTTTTTTTCCACTGGTGCCCCGACTGCATGAATTTTAGCGTGTTACTAGGTTGGCATCTAGGTTCTACCTTTTACTGTCGAAACAGTTAAATGTAATTGCCTCTTCTATTCCAGTAGCTTCTTCTGTCGCACTTCCCAACAGTGTAACTCCCTTCCTCTTACTTGCTTCTCTGATAACTATAATCTTCAAAAATTTAAATGTAATGTCAATCGACATCTTCTGACGCCTTGATCCCCGTTTTTCTTTTTATCGTTCTCCGTTCTTCGTTTTATTCTTTCCTCAACCCCCCCTCACTATGTCCAGTATTTTCCCATACTTTCGCTCTCCGTAGCCCCCTTACGTAATAATAGCATTCCCGCCTTGCTTGGGATGATTTTTTTTTTTAAATTACTGTTTTGATTTAAATTTTTTAACAATTTTCGTAATGCATGTTTGCTTGGGAAAGCCGGTAATTCTTTCTGGAAAGGAGATATTTGAAAAATCCGGACCGAAGATTTGTATTTTGATAAGATTCGATAATGGCACTCTCGAGAATGTTCCGTTTAAGTAACTTTCTCTTTTAATAAGTGTTGCATTCTTTAGAGCAATGCTGTGGTTGAATATATTTCTATGTATGATTCGTGCATTTGATAAACTTTCCTGTATAAAATCCGTTCTGCGTTCCTAGTTTTTTGTTTAATTTCTGCAAGTTTTCCCCAATGTAGAATGCTAACGTCCTGCAGTGATATGGCACATAGGAAAAGAATATTAACCAACCGATATTGGTAAAATTTTCAGAATAAATATATATATATTTTATTTTTAAACAAATCTTAAAATTATGAACCGTAGAAACATATATTTGATTAACGCAATATACCTAAATTATTTTATTGTTTTACATGTTAATATGGACTCCTTGACAATCTATCACCTTCATTAGTTTTTCCTTCTTAAATTTTTATATTGTTTTGTACTTTAACATTTTTTGCAACAGTTTCATCTTTTCTTTAAGATTTCTTCCCTTGAATATTGCTTTTCAGACTCGGAAACATCTCTTTTGACGAAGGATCACTGCTAGATTAATAATTGGAAAGGTTGTGAACTATTCCATTGGTTTGATTTGTTTTGTTTTACAGCATATCAACCTCGATGGGTTATTTAATGCCGAAAAAATTTTTATTGCTGGTAATATTTTTTTCAAAAATGTATTGCTGGTAATATGTTTTTCTTCAAAAATCTATTTCTGGGAATACTTTTTCTTCAAAAATCTATTTCAGAAAATATTTTTCCTTCAAAAAATCTATAGCTGGTGAAAAAAAATTTTCTAAAAATTTATAGCTGTTTGTATTGCTGATAATAAATTTTCCTTCAAAAATTATTGCTGTTAATAATTTTTTACAATGTATTTCTGGAATTAAAGCTTATTTTTACACTTTCATAGTATTTTGACACAAGTTTGGGTGTTAACTATTTGCCCATAGCTGGGACCCTAACAGGTGCTACCCCCCCCATATCAGGTTGGACCTGGGAACACCAGCAATTAAGAGGTAGTTCCACGCTCCTCGAAACATCCTGATCAGAGACCTTGCTGTTGGACGTAGCTTATCGTCTTACCCAGGACGCGGATGTAGTTTACCGTCTTACCCAGGAGATGGAGGTAGTTTATCGTCTTACCCAGGACGCGGATGTAGTTTATCGTCGTACCCAAGACGCGGATGTAGTTTAGCGTCGTACCCAGGACGCGGATGTAGTTTATCGTCATCTCCAAGACACGGATGTAGTTTATCGTCTTACCCTGGACACGGATGTAGTTTATCGTCTTACCCAGGACGTAGATGTAGTTTATCGTCATAATCAGGGCGGACCATTCCATTAATTTGAAGTCTTTGAGACACTGTGTCTAAATGTCTTCATGTTTACTAAAGAACTGCATATTTTGCACATTCGCGTGCAGGTTTTCTATGTGGGAAATGAGCGAACGCATATCTATAAAAAGGGCATAGACAATATTTTCATAGAAAGACATTTTTTGAAATTAAGCAAAAAAGGATTTTCCATTTCTATTCTGAATTTTTATCTATAAGCATTTTTTCCCATTTCCTCCAAAATGCACTCAAACTCTTTTAGCGCCATATCGACGAATGGCTTTACTGCCTTGTTTCGTTGAAATGATTAAAAACAAAGTATTGACAAAATTTATATTAAGCTTAGATAAAGTCTTTTCAATTCTAGTTGTGATAAAATTTATTGGTGATTCGTTGGTTTTGTCATGGTTCACTCTTATATTTACGAGCCCTTTCTTTCTCATTGACTAGGAAATAGTTAGGATATTGTGGTAGCTTGAAAGTATTTTCAATATACTTCTCCTTGTCATGTAAAGATTGAGGACTACAAATTCTAAAAAAAAATTCCACTCTGTTACAGTTTTTTCTTTAATTCTTCGAAAGCATTCTAAAGCATTTTTTGGTGTGCAAAATTTGTCTTTTTGAAACTCCTATTTACTGGCACCTGATACTTTGAATGGATGCCAATAAACAATGGTACTTTTGTATTAATCTATATCTATAAAAAGGCAGGAGGTGTGTGTGTGTGTGTGTGTGTGTGTGTGTGTGTGTGTGTGTGTGTGTGTGTGTGTGTAACGAATGCACGGCCGCAATTTTCGACGGATTTGCACCAAAATTTACATGCACATGCACCAAGTTAGCGGGGAGGCCAACACCGACCTTGCATTTCCCAACTCCTATCGATAGTGGAAATAATTGATTTTTTCATGCTTCTACGGCAGTTTTCATGTAGTTTGCGGCCATTTTCTACTAGCCAGGGTGAGAGCCTATAGCTGGCTGCCACGAATAGGCAGGAAGATTCTATTGTCCAGCGTGAGAGCCAACAGCTGACTGACACGAATGTTAACTAACATGCTAGAATGCAAAAAAAATCGATAGCTGCATTCGTCACAAGTGAGAAAAATTTAAATCTGCATGGCACTTTACTCTATTGGCTCATTCGCTTGCTTAAACTCAACGTTGATTCTGATTCCACAGAACTGGGTTGGGTGTGAAAAAGTATTTGTTGTTAACATTCTTTTTTCATTCGTTTTTTTCCAGTTACGAGTCCTTTTTTTAAAGCTGATCGTTTTGTGTTCATTTTGTTTAGTTCTTTTTTCGTAACAGATTTAATGTTTAGTATAGAGCTTAGAAAAAATTCGCAGTGTGAGATAGGCAAGAAGTAAGGCATGTAGCAACATCAGCACGGCAAAGGGCACTCCTTTAAAGGCAAGGAAGGGCAAAAATATATTAAGTCAAGTGATAGCGATTGATGTATGAGCCGTACGACTTTTGAATCAAGCACGGGCAACGCCCGGCCATGCTGCTAGTGTTTAAATAAAAAAAAAATCTATTTTCTTAGATCATGAATGAAATGATAATTGTTCAATTTGATCTTTGTTACAAAATTTAAAAATTCTTTGTCATTCTCTTGTTTCATAGTAAACATTCTTGAAAGATTTAAGTAAAAATCAGTGTCTTTGCACAAAATTTAAACTGGAATCATTGAGTATTATCTATGATCTGATTTAACAATCAAAAATATTTAAATTAAATATTTAGACCTGAATAAAACAAATACAGTATTGTAAATTTTCATAGAATTTAGGAAACCTCAAAAAAATCAATAGATTTTGGTGAAACTATATGGATTTGATTTCTATGAATATAAAAGAATTTCTGTAAAGAATAGAATGAAGATTTATGTTTAAAAATGCTTCTTTTTGTCATATCTGTTTCTGTTTATGGCATTTTTTTTCTATAATGGCATACAGTTTTTCTATACTATAAATTGTATTCTGCATTTTTCATGAGAAACATTGCAATGGCTGGATAGATAGATATGAACAGATTTAAATAAACAGATAATGGACATATATATATATATATATATATATATATATATATATATATATATATATAAACAGATAATGGACATATATATATATATATATATATATATATATATATCCATTATCTGTTTATTTAAATCTGTTCATATCTATCTATCCAGCCATTGCAATGTTTCTCATGAAAAATGCAGAATACAATTTATAGTATAGAAAAACTGTATGCCATTATAGAAAAAAATGCCATAAACAGAAACAGATATGACAAAAAGAAGCATTTTTAAAAGTAAATCTTCATTCTATTCTTTACAGAAATATATATATATATGTCTGTGTGTGTGTGTGTGTGCTCACGCGCATATACATATATATATATATATATGTGTGTGTGTGTGTGTGTGTATGTGTGTAATGAAATGGATTAAGTCCGACAATTATTTAATATATTTTGTGCTTATACGTTATTTTTATAGATACATATAAATACAAGATATATTAGATAAATAGGTTGTCATTGTTTGCGTTAAGTTACGTTTCGTGAGCAGGTATGATAGATCGAGAAAAATCGTCTAAGTCTGTGTGTTTAAAGGCACGTCAGATCAAATGACGGTTTCTGTATAGGTATAGAGGTTCGAATCCTGCCGGAAACGCATATTTTCTACGAAATTTCTCGAACATTCAGGCCAGTAAAACTAATTAATAACGTTTAATTAAAAAACAAAGCATCTACTTAAATAAATTATATCTATAAAAATAACGTATGAACTGAAAAATATATATATATATTTATATCTAGGAAATGGATTAAATCCGACATATTTTTCATTTATTTTTTAAACGTTATTTTAAATTCATACTCATATTTGAGTAGATGCTTTGATGTTATTTTTTTTCAACAATATATTTAATTATTTACATCAACCGGCCTGAATCTTTGAGAAATCTTGTTAGAAAAATAACCACCCTCCAGTAGTATTCATTTGATCTGTCGTGCCTTGACTATTCGATCACGTAGGACCTCTTGATCAAACAAAGCCCAAATAATGCTTTTGAACATATACATTTCCCGATTCTCGAAGTATACATATCTGCACTGTTTCGCATCTTAACGGAAACAAAGACAGTTTTTAGGAAAATGGATGAAATCTGACGTTTTTTAAATTTATTTGTTTAAACGTTATTTTAAATGGATCCCAATATTTGTATAGATGCTTTGTTTTTATTTATTTATTTATTAAATAGTATACTTATTTATTTACACCTACCGTTCTGAATATTCAGGAAAGCGTGATAGAAAAATATGCGCTCTTCGGCAGGATTTGAACCTGCGTCCCGTACGGAAAACTGTCATTAGATCTGCCGCGCATTAGATCGGCTCGGCCACTTAAACCTGATATGCATCAGATCTAAGATAGATAATGAGCATACTGACATAGATAGATAGATAGATAGATAGATAGATAGATAGATAGATAGATATGAAGAGATTGAGATAGAAAGTTACATATAAACAGACATAGATAGATAGATAGATAGATAGATAGATAGATAGATAGATATGAACAGATTGAGATAGAAACTTACATATAAACAGACATAGATAGATAGATAGATAGATAGATAGATAGATAGATAGATAGATATGAAGAGATTGAGATAAAAAGTTACATATAAACAGACATAGATAGATAGATAGATAGATAGATAGATAGATAGATAGATAGATATGAACAGATTGAGATAGAAACTTACATATAAACAGACATAGATAGATAGATAGATAGATAGATAGATAGATAGATAGATAGATATGAACAGATTGAGATAGAAACTTACATATAAACAGACATAGATAGATAGATAGATAGATAGATATGAAGAGATTGAGATAGAAAGTTACATATAAACAGACATAGATAGATAGATAGATAGATAGATAGATAGATAGATAGATAGATATGAAGAGATTGAGATAGAAAGTTACATATAAACAGACATAGATAGATAGATATGAACAGATTGAGATAGAAAGTTACATATGAACAGACATAGATAGATAGATATACAGATATACGACTCGAAGATGTCGACATTGACATAAAATCTTATTCAATGTGCACTCGTCTAGAAATTAACTACCCCAATCCGCTTGAAAGAATCGATGCAAGAAACGAATAACGACATTATTTCTATAAAATATGCATTTCTTTTTCCATGGTGTAGTGAAGCTGAACCATTGTCTCTGGTAATGTGTTCGGCAATTTTCATAAAATACAAATCAGTAAAACAGAAGCTTTCTAGCTCCTTAAAAACGAATTACTTCACCTTATTTTATTTTCGTCTGAAACTAGGACATTATAATACATATATATCCCAGGACACCTCGACGTGGTGTACTGGTTAGAAAGCTTGTCATGCTAGATCAATTACGGACTGAGTAGTGAGTTCGATCCTCACTGGCTACCCTTGTGCCACATATAAGCCGGGCTTAGGGAATCACTATAACACATATCCCGTATTATATCGTTTACAGAATCCAACCGTTTCATTTGTCTTCTGTATGGTCCGACATTGATTCCTAAACGCATGCAGGGAGTATGAAACGCCTTTTATATTAAGAGTTGAGGACACAGCCGGAACAAAATATCGGTTACTGCGTAATAGTTTTAATCGAATGGACTCACAACAAAGTCTCTGTGACCATATGGTTGGCTCGCACACACGCGCACACACGCAAATGTCAACAGAGTCTGTCTGTAGAAAAGAGAGTTCTTTTTGTAAACAATCTCTGGATAAAAACCGAAAGACTTTATTAAGAACCGACGTTTTATTTTAGATATTATTATTTTATTTCCTTTGATTTCTGATGTGTACTCATTTCTTTCCGGGTCCGCCCAGAGACCTAAGGTTAGAAATGGCATCATGACATTTTCCACTGACAAAAAATATATTTTACAGAGACAATGCTCTTCGTAAGGTGTGGGCTGCACACGTGAGAACATTTTTTTTGCATTTCTTTCAGGCATGGGCTTCCAGGGATCCCTTCAATTAGTCTACTGGAATTTTTCCAACCAATCCGAGGGCTCCAACTACAACGGGGATTGTTGATGTTCCCATGTGCCACATTGTTGAGATTCCGATTTCAAGGGTCCTTGTATTTTGATAGCTTTTTGAAGATCTTGAAAGATACATTGCAGCCTGCAGGGACTGCCATATCAATAAGGAGGCACTATAATAATGTCTGAGCGGTTAGATTTGATTGTTCTGGCTGTGTGTATTGTCCCATAATATTATTATATTTATTATTATTCTTGTCATCATCATTATTATTATTAATTTCTTCTTCTTTTTGCCGTGCCCATATCGAACATAGGTGATCATGACTCTTCACAACTTCCTATCTCGTTTGGATCTCACTGTTTTTTCTCACTTTGCTAAGGTTCTTGCCCCACATTCCGACGTCCATTCACACAACCTCGTCAGGTAAGTGACTCGCTGCCTTCTGCTATTTCTTTTGCCCTCACCAGTGAGGATTAAGTTTTCCAATTCCTCCTTCCTATATGTCTAAGGAATTTCATCAGTCTTTTTCCTGGTTCGGAGTTTAAATGTTCTTTCTGTTGCCATTTTTAAGACTCCCTTGTTGCATACTCGCACTATCCATGAAATTCTCAGTATCCTTCTGTTGAACCGCATTTCTTCTGCCTCTAATTTTCTGCTCATCCGTGACGAGATTGTCCATCACTCACCGCCATATAAGAGGATGGATAACAAAAAGCAATTCAGCATACTTTTATTTAAAACAAAAAGATATATATATATATGGACATGAATTTTGTTCTTGTTATCCTCTCCAAGACTCTCATCCTGGGTATGACGATAAACTACATCCACGTCCTGGGTAAGACGATAAACTACATCCTAGTCCTGGGTATGACGATAAACTACATCCGCGTCCTGGGTAAGACGATAAACTACATCCGTGTTCTGGGTAAGACGGTAAACTACATCCGCGTCCTGGGTAAGACGATAAACTACATCCTAGTCCTGGGTATGACGATAAACTACATCCGCGTCCTGGGTAAGACGATAAACTACATCCGTGTTCTGGGTAAGACGGTAAACTACATCCGCGTCCTGGGTAAGACGATAAACTACATCCTAGTCCTGGGTATGACGATAAACTACATCCGCGTCCTGGGTAAGACGATAAACTACATCCGTGTTCTGGGTAAGACGATAAACTACATCCGCGTCCTGGGTAAGGCGATAAACTACGTCCAACAGCAAGGCCTCTGATCAAGAGGTTTTGAGGAGCGAGGAACTACCTCTTAATTGCTGGTGTTCCCAAGTCCACCATGAACCGGGGTGGTAGCACCTGTTAGAGTCCCAGCTATGGGCAAATAGTTAACATCCAAACTTGTGTAAAAATAGGTTTTAATACCAGAAATACTTTGTAAAAAAAAAATTATTACCAGCAATACTTTTAAAAAAATACCAGCAATACAAAGTTATGCTTTCCTTCAAGGAAAAATATTCCCAGAAATAGCTTTTTGAAGAAAAACATTACCAGCAATAAAAATTTTATCGGCATTGAGTAACCCATTGAGGTTGATATGCCGTAAACAAAAACAAAAACCCTCTCCAAGACTCACCGTCAATGTGAAATCCACAACCGAAACTTATGTGATATATTGCGGATATAAATATATGTTTATCCTGAAAATGTTACCAATATCGAGTGGTTAATATTCTTTTCCTATATGTGTCATGTCTATGCAGGAAGTTGGCACTGTACGTTGGGGAAACTTGCAGAAATTAAACAAAAAAGCTATCTATGAATACGGGACGGATTTTATAAACAACAATTGTCTACCGGATTTTAATCATACATAGAAATCTATTCAACCACAACTTTGATCTAAAGAATGCCACATTTATTAAAAGAGAAAGTAACTTAGACGGAACATTCTCGAGAGTGTCACTATCGAAGCTTGTCAAAATACAAATCTAAGGACCGGATTTTTTTTATACCACCTTTCCTGAAATAATTACCTCTTTCCCAAACAAGCACGCATGACGAAAATTGTTAAAAAAAATTTAAAAGCAGTTAAATTCAAAACCTCCTTTTATTTATTTAATTTTTTAAGCATTTCACTCATCCGATAACAGTTCTTACTACCCATAATGCACCATTGACAAGCCGAGCCAAAACAAAGGGCACATTACCTAAATATTGCGTATGAAAGAGACTGTCTGTTGACCTCACTGTCCACTTGGAAGCCCAGGGGAACACCTGCATTTATGGAAAAAGATCTAGAAGAATGGCCATTCAAGACCTCGCGATTTGATATGAAAAACTGACTCAGTTCAAAATTTTGTCCAGAAATACCATAACCTTCCAAATCTTTTTACAAGACCAACATGCCAAATCCTGTCAAATGCCTTTGAGATATCCGAATCAGGACTAAATTTTGATAGACACTTTCAGCAATAATCGTTAAAGCATCAGCAGTTGACCTAGAGAAGTGAAAGCCATATTGCTTATCTAAAAGAAGACCCTGCGATGTGAGATGTTTAACCAAATCAGAGTTGATTAGAGCATCTAGTACTTTACCAAAAGGAGGTAGAACGCTGATAGGCCGATAAAAGAATCAGATAGCGCGCTTGAGTTATTAAAGACTGAAACTGCAGAAGAGGATTTTCAACAAGTTGCAAAGTAAGAAGTTATATCAATTCATTTTTAACCAATACATCCATACATACATTAACACCCCCCATATATATATATATATATATATATATATATATATATATATATATATATTAAGCGTTTCAACCCAAGCAAGGTGGGAAGCCACTAGCACGCAAGGGGTTACAGAGAGTTGGAGCGAGAGCAAATAGGAGTGATAGATGAAAGGTTGAAGAGAAGGATAGGGGATAGATCAAGACATCTGGGGACGTCGATTGACATTATATTTGAATAGTTGGAGATTATAGCTATCAGGGAAACAGGAAAAGGGGAGGGTGCGAGACATGAAGCTATAGGATTAGAAGAGACGGCTACATTTAACAGTTTCGACAGTGAAAGGGTGAGAGCGAGATGCCAGCCTAGTAGAACGCTTAAATTCATGAAGTCTGTGTACCAGCAAAAACAGCTCATCGGAGTTGTTACCATGAAAGTAAAAAGACAAGGGGGAGGTGACGGCACGTCTGTGAGAGAGTGACTGCAGACGAGATGCCAGATCAGGGCCAATTCCATTGCATATATGTGGATGATTATATATATATATATATATATATATATATATATATATATATATTTATATGGATGTTTATATATATATATATATATATATATATATATATATATAAACATTTTTATGATTATACGTTCTTTCATTAGATACAAATATTTAAGTAAATTCTCTGTTTATAATAAACAGTATTAACGACATTTACCGGCCTGAATGTCCGAGAAATCTTCATAGAAAATATGCGTCCTCCGACAGGAATCGAACTCGTATCCTATAAGGAACCGTTATATATTCCTGATTTGCTTTTCCGATGTAGCCACAGAATAGCGTTTCGGTTAGAAAGGTTGATTTTACTGTTTTTAAACTACAATTCTCCATGATTTTTCTCGTACTTTCATATCTGCTCGATGCGTAGATATATATATATATATATATATATATATATATATATATATATATATATATATAATGGACTCTCCCATCGGTTTCGACGTATGAGTATCTGACAGCTTACTTGATTCAGTTATGAAATTTTGTGCGATAATCTTAAGTGGGATTTAAGACACGCTAGTGATTTACAAAGGAGGCCACATATGGAGCAAGTGTGAGGATTGAGAGATGAGATCACTGTTAGATTGACCTTTTAGATCTTGCTCTCGCTTCTTGAAGATTATTCAGACAAGCAAATTGAAAATTTCTGAGTCCACTAAAACACGTTGATCTCCATTTTACCCGCTCCAACGCTAAACGCTCAAGGGTGTTATGTTATATATTGACTGCTGACAAGTTGCTTTTCTGTTTGTCTTTGTATCTTAGTCATGG